TACCGTTTGGCTACCGTTTCCGTCTCGCTGCAAGCATCAGGCCGGCACCCTTTGATTGTCCTGAGCTCACATGCACATCACATCACAAGCAAAGGTGCACGAATGCAGCACATTGTGGAAACACGATAAGCTGCTGGCGCAGGAGCACCGGGAGTCTCTGCAAGGCTTGCAGGATCTCGCTGTGGCTGCGCTCCTGTCACAGAATGAGACACAGTTGCCAATCACTACGAACTCTGGCACGCCTCAGCTTAGATTTTGGTCGTCCTGGCACAAGCACAACACAGCACGGAACTGTAGGCATGCCCGGCATACATACGGTGCCGTGGTGCAGATGTTTTTCAGTGTGCCTAATTCCACGTCTCCCTGCATGCATTCCTCCACCCAGGTCTGCATTTTTGAACATGTCGGTCTTCGGCTCTTGATGTCTGTCCATGTCCACGTTTGTGGAGGGGGCGCCCGTAGGGGGCCGTGCGTTCAGAGACATTTTGGACCAAGGTGAGGGGGGAAGGGGTGGGCTTAATGACGTCCGGTTTGCGCAGATATCAGGATGACAATTTGCGGTGAGGATGTCTACAGATTCCGTGGCATGACAATGCTGATGCTGATGCTGACAAAAGTTTAAGTGGCTTTCGACTAGTGGCTGCAGTTCGCACATCCTGGAAGCGTTTTTGCTGTCCAAAGCATAGGTTGCAGGGATGTCCGGCCGGCAAGCACTGACTTCATTTGCGCTGTTGATCCTGCGGCAGTCAACAACTTTTCAAGTACCTGAAGTAGCAAGGACTTTTCAAGGATTTTTCTGAAGCTTCAAGGCCTTACCATCTGTTTAAGGGCACCGTCAGATAAAGTTCTTCAGAAATGGCTTCAGTCCCACGCCACTGGAACTCACTCGCATGCAAGAATATAGGTTCATAGTGGGCCCAGAGGCAATCACTAACTTTTCGCGTACCTGAAATATCAAGGCACCTTGTTTGAGATTGCCGATCTCTCCCAATCACCTGTCATTCATCGGTATCTATGGTAGGGGGCTGGGGCGGCTCTAGCCCTCATAACCCTAATTCCGTCAGGTCCCCCCCGTGACAAAGGCGCTTGCCGTGCTGTTGCACTATTGCATGTGTTTGCTTGCGATGGCTATGCGGCCGGGATATGGGTGTTTCTTCAGCTGGGTCCGTTTGCGTGCCAGGAGATAAGGTGCCCTGAACCCTCAACCCGAGTTGTAATTGGTTCGCACAGGGCCTGGGCTCGTGCCGTGGCCGCCAAGTCCTCGGAAATGTCCTCATCGCCTAAGGTTCGACCTTGGTTCTGCTTTGAGGCGAACGGTCTTCTGGGTGCGTCAGGTATACTCTCCACATTGCTTAAAAAGACAAGAAAGAGTCAAGCCAAACACCCACGGACTTTCTCTCAAATGTTGACCAGTGAGCAGCCTTGCCGGAACCGACGCCAAGCCGTTGCGACCCCACTGTACAAAGGTCAGCTTCTGCAGTCGAGGGCGAGGCGGGCGCAGCTTGCGCAGCCGAGGCTGCACATGTAGCATCAGGCTGCGCGGGACAAAATCTCAAGGCGGCAAATTTGCTGAGCTCTGTAAAAGCCGCAGGAGCCTATAACTAAGCTGCGCCGAGTATGCTCTTGCAGCACTCATGTCAAGCGGCAGGAAATACATCGTGCTGGAGAACGTCCACCACCGGAGGCTGGAACGCCACCTTCGCTGTGATGTCGATCATATCGTCGACCTTTAGTTGCTCCTTCATGAAATCGAACTTGGTGTCTGCCAGGCGGCCAGTGTCGGAACACGCACGGTAAAGGCCCTCGAGATCGTCAATGGCGGCCGCGACATCGTCTGGCGTCGGCACACCCCCTCTGACAGCGTTGTAGATCACAACGGTTACAGTCACGTGCTCGGCTCCGTTTCGCTGGGGCGACTTGATGGACAAGCCTTTCCAGACGTCGTGCTCCGTGCCGCGGGAGACGCGCGCGGCGCTGCTGAGCCCTTTGGGTGCAGGAGCACTTCTCCGAGCTGAGCTTCGACTCATGAGTTGAAGGGACTGAAGCTGGGGTTGGGGTGCGCTTGCCAACTCCATACAATCGTCCAAGTCGTCCTCCATGCAGGCCTCCAAGGAAGCGCCGTAGGCATTCTTGCTGCTGCCGAACAGGGCCGGCGATGCACAGAGACCCGAAAGAAAGCCTCAACCTTTGCCTTCACGGCGCCGAGGTTGCTGCTGCAGAGGGACCTGAATGGTCATCAGCACGTTGAAGCGTTGTCCCATAGCCCGGATGCCGATGACGCTGGAAGTGGCCTTGCCACGAGCCAAAGCCTCGGCACGCTCCTGGTCAGACTCCCGCTGCTCACCGCCAACCTTGTGGAGGCTCTCCTCTGCTTCAAGCCAATAGCGGTGGATCTTGCCATTCCCTTCCACCGCATGGTGAAAAAGCTTCTTTGAGCCGCGCCCGTCCTGCTGCACAGCCATTCCTTGGCTGGTGCAGAGCAACACGAGATTCCGCGGATCGGAGTCGCTTGTGGTGTTGTAGTTGTAAGCCTCTGTCGCAAACTCTAGTTTCCCCCTGCCATCGGAGGATTTCTCCACGGGAATGAAGGTTGTCTGGAAGCGAATGGAGCACTGCGCATCTAGGGCTGTGTTCGACAGATCAGTCTGTCCTTCAAGGCCAGCGTAGCTGCCGTAAGTGCCCATTTGTTGCAACACACTCCGAAGCGTCACTGGCTGCAGCGGGCCCCCTGCGCGAGAGGCTACCACGGCCACCTCATCTGCAGAGACGACGCCCAGCTTTTCGTTCCAGTTGTCACTGCGCACCGTAAAGAGACGCTGCCCAGTCTTGCTCTTGAGGTAGGTGTCCGTGATGTTCGCCCCCCAGCAAGACAAGGAGCCGCCAACGGTCCCACGACTCACATCATCCCAGGAGACCACCTTGCAGCTGTACGTTGCATAGTGGCCGCCTTTAGATCTGCAAGCCTCGTTGATGGCCTTCATGGTTGCGTCCACAGATGCCATTATGGGCAACGAGGTCGGAAGAGCTGTTGCGCCTCTGTCGTGTGTTAAACCGAACGGCTCGAGCCGTGGCCAGTTAGAGGGTCATAACGTTAGGTTCAAGCTGTCACAGAGGTTCAGAGTTTGGAAGCCGAATAGAGCACCCGTTGTGCATACATAAAGGCGATACGAAGAGACGTTCTGGATCCTGGCTGAGAAGACTTCTCAGACCTTGCAGTTGTTACAACTTCACGTGGCTGCGAGCTGTACATCTATCGTTGTGACTATTGAAAATTGACTATTGGAGTAGACGCAGAAGACGACACGGTCAAGCAACTGCTACCTCTTCAACTCACCGCAGGCTGAAGCGTCGGGGGCATCCATCCACAAACTACAAGGGAAGCGCTGCTTAATCTTTTGAGTTGATGTGTCCTTTAGGGGGACCGAGACCCATGCACGCATGGACAGCAGCTCAGCAGCACAAGGCTCCGAGGGCACCACCCAGCACTGCAACCTTTGGCCAGGAATCAGAGACTATGACTACGAATCTATATAGCTTCAAAGCATCCGAATCAGGTGCAACACAGCTTCTGAGGCGTGGGCGTCACGAAGATCGCCATTGAAGTAGAAGTGGGGATCGCCCTTCAGAAAACAAAGACTGACCGCACAGCCTTCTGATAAAGGAAAACTCACTTGATCGTAGGACAGACTCGGGAAAGGTCGAATCTCGCAACCGTTCCGGTGACTCTGTGCATCTAAGGAAGCGAAGCTTCGTGGCGGCCCACCTCAGATCTGCCTGCTCCAAGACCTGAGATCCGGACCGGCAAGATGACCACCTACTCGCTGAAAAGACGGCTGGGATCCACACGAAGCGGCTGCTTCGTGTTCGGAACGAAGTCCACCCAGCCTGGAACAGTCACGTTGTTGTCATTTCGCTATGAAGAACATAAGCGCATTTTCATGTCGCATGCCGGCTGAGGCCACGACTGCGGGAGGCGATGAGGTGACGGTCCACATAGAATCGAGCCTGCGCGCGACACAGCCGCCACACTCCTCATCTGCAGGAGCCTTCACCGGCCATGATACTGACAAACACGGGTTTGACGAAGCGCTTATCTAATAGGCAGTCCAGCAATGAAAAGGCAAAGAAGGCAACCACCACCAACAACAACAGCGAGGACAAGACAACGCGGCAACAGCAGCAAAGCATGCAGGATAGCACTACCAGAATAGCCACAACAACACGACGTCTCGGAACAAAGACAGAAGACAGGAAGAAACCTGCCGCGAACAACAGTGCGCATCTATAGCCATGCGTTTCGATATGATAGGGCCCCAAAAAAGCACATAAGCAAAAATTAGGATAGGGATATCCCATATAAACCCCCTTATAATGAAGCCCAATAATAAGGTAGGGATATATCCCCATAAAATGCTTATGCTTCTGTGCTTTTTGGGGTCCCTAATATATGAAGGTGGCAACTCACGAAGACCATTGCAGCGGTGCGTGTCTCGGCCCTGTGAGCTACCGACCTCGCTTGCCCGCATGGCAAGATCTGAATCTATATATATATATATATATATATGTATATATTCATATATATATATATGTGTGAATGTGCAAACAGAACCTTGATACCTTGGACCTCAGATATCAGGATGCGGTCGCTGCTTCGAGGCTCCGAAAATGAAGCCCCAGAAGAGGACAAACACCGGCCTCCTTGGACTTGACATCCACGGTGCCTCTCAGCTGCGTCCTGACAAAGCTTTGTTCTTTCTTTCGCAAGGGTAAACGAAGGGGGAGAGCCTACCTCTCTCTCTGCGGTGCTACTTCTCTTGCTTGTGTACTCCACCCTCCGCATTAGACGAAGTTGTTGCTTTGTCATAGCAGCACGTGGGGCAGAACAGCTCATCGGGCAGCTCGTTCAGCCTTCTACTGCTACTTAGACTTATAATATAGATTCATTCTTACACTGACGGCTGCTACTAATTACAGAACATCGCTACTAGATTGCTGGTAGCTCCACATGCTTTCTGGCAGGCCGGCCCCAGTCCACGGCTGTGGGGTGCACATGGAGCCCGGGAAACAGGACACCTGGTACATGTGGCTTTCTGAGGGCAGCGCCACTTCCCCAGCTCCACTTTGGAGCCATACAGCCTGCATGGTATCTTTCGACATGCTTGCGGCGAGATCGGAGATTCTCATGAAAACAGCTGCCGTCATTCTGTGAACCGCACTGCGCAGAACCCCGAGGTCACTGCTTCTCCCATCTCTTGGCCGTGCCAACCTTGCTATGCCAGCTGCACGGTGGCAACTCTTGCCCGTCGCATGTGACCAGCCATCATTGAGACGATGCTGTGCTTTATGCAGAAGAGAGGCCCAGAATGACCACACACCTTCGGGCTCCACATAGAAGGCATAGCCAGCCTGACCAATTGTTGCGGAACCATCGATGCGCTGGTCATGGGCAGTTCACCTTGCAAGCTTCTGAGCTGTTTCTGTCTCACCGACACGCGCTTGCGCTCTCTCCTTCTGACGGAGGGCATGCTTTGAGCGCTGAGGTGACACAGCCTAAATCAGCGTGAAACTCGACGAACGGGCCTCGTTGGACTTACCAGCCATGCCGGAGTGTGAAACCTGAATAAGCCCTGGAATGGCAGGGCCGATCTCCAGCCCTGCGTGGCAACAATGTTGCCTGTGTCAGGGTGCCAGACGCGGCCCGGCATCACCGCAGGCAGCTCCAGTTTGTGCTTCGCGCACCGCAGGTGTGGCAGAACTTTGTCCTCTTCGGTGGCTCTGCCCCCGGGCGCAGAGCGCCGCACTCCTGGGCTGAAAGGTTGGCTTCTGTCCACCCGCCCAACCCCGCTCGAGTCTGTGCCGCGACTTGACTGGCTGGGCTTTGGCTTGCAGACATGTTTGCATCAGGCAAAAGGACGGCAGAAGGGATAAAGGTGAGCATGTCACAGTGCAGAGCAGGCTCGTGGCAAAACTTCGCCGACGGGACAAAGCGCATTCCACAGTCAGAGCAGAAGTTCGCGGCTTTGCTCTGCACAGGTCCTGGCTGAAATTCCGGAGGCCTGTCTGCAGAAAGAGGCCCTTGAAGACTTTTGACACCCCCTCTAACACTGTCTCAGCCGCTCCTCCAGCATGGCCTGGGTTTCGTGGTGTCTGGACTTTTGGCGGTGTGCCTCAGGAGCTCCACCGGTCTTTCTTGCATAGAAGCTTCCGAGAGGCTTGCTTGAAAACGATTCCGAAGCATGCTACCCACTGAAATCATTCGCAAGGGGCTCACCGCCGTGCAGGGCACCACTGCCGCAGGAGGTGTGGCCACCGTGCTGGGTGCTGCAAGCGGTGCAGGCGTCACGCTGCTCCACACCCTGCAAAACGAACTGGGGAGAAGCCGTGGACACTCCATGTAGCCAGAGCAACACGTTAACCCTGTTATGCTATGACGGCAGTCGGGAATATCTTTGCACGCCATGGCAAGCCCTCCAGGCAGGCGAGCAACACGACCGGGGGCCGCGGTGGCTGGCCCGGCGTGACCGGCGTGTACACGCCAAGGACGGGCGAGGGCTCCTGAATTCAAAGTGGGAACAACTAGCTGAAGGAGCTGGCTGGATTTCAGTGTCGTGCAGTGGGCGAAGCGGGTCTTTGCAGCTCACGGCTGCGTTCAGCAGAGAAGACATGCAAGGCTACAGCGAGTCATGGTCCATGCCAGCAGTGGCTGTCCTGCTTGTAGATACAAACCGGCGACGCCGCCGGCACCAGCCTCAGCTGCTTTCCAACGGCGTTCGTCGTTTGCCTGCTCTATCAATGGTCTACCACTTTACAGATCTTGCCGTGAAGCGCTCCAGGCGGCGGAGGTGTAACAGGTGATGCCTCATCAATTCGCAGTGAGCACTCGAGAAGGTTTCGGGTCCCCTACGTGCCTTCATCGGGCCCTTGCTGCCGGCTCGGATCCTGGTTCAGCTGCCAGATGTCGACACTGACATTTCGGGAAAAGGATGCTCCACGCATGAATGGGTGCAGTTTCGGCGTCCGCTTTGCAGAGGCTGCCCGGCGCATGGGCGACAGTGTCCTCTGCGGGGACATGCCCCGTAAATCCTGCAAGCAGGTCTTGAAGCTGCCGGCAGCTCGCTGCAAAGCCATCCGCAAGAAGTGCCGGGAACATGTTTTGTCTAGCGGCTAGCACTCGATGTTTACCCTTCAACCATGGCAGCTTCACTTCTCTTGGGGCAAAACGGGGCTGTGAGAAGCACATCTGCCACTGCATCCTGCTCTGCGCTGCCGAGTTCCCACCGCACAAGCCAGCTTAGCCTTCAAGCCACTACATACAGGTACTCAACCGAGTGTGCCTATACACATGCACATGGACATTACAAACTTGAAGGCATTCGTACACATGTCATATTTTCGTGCATCTCTGTAAATACACCCTGGTACATACATGTAATACATACATGCCTAGACATACATGCATGCATACATGCAAACGTACATACATGCTTTCATACATACATAAGATCACACTAGCTGAAACACATGTACCACAAAAAATTGTTAAAGTAAAAAAATCAAAAGGGGTGGGAGGCAGACATGCGGCAAGAGAGGGAAGAGGGACAGGGGGGAGGGAGACAAAAACGACGATGAGGATCAAGAGGAGAAACGGACGGAGAGATGGCAGATGACATTTTCAGGCACCAGATGAATACGCACGCACACACACACACACACACACACCGCGTGCGCAGCGACACGTATACGTGCACAGAAGACTTTATGCCTGTCCATGTGTCTGTGCTCAGTGCCGCCGTCCCAACCCAACACGGGAACCTAATTGCGTCTCCTGTGCGCCGCCGAGCCCATCCGATGAAACGCAAGCGTTCAGATTTTGGCTTCCGACGTGGCCTGCAAAGATTCATGGTGAGTTGGGGCCGGAGCTTGACAACATCTGTGGGAGCAAGCTTGGGCTTAGAGTCCAGCAGTGAGAATAAGCCCGAATGCCCGAATTGAATGGCCTGTTGGCGCATGTTGGCATCCATCATCACCAGCATCATCTTCACACTACATATGCGTGCGAGACTCACTGAACTGCGCAGCACCGTCTTTGGACGATGACCGGCAGTCATACCAGCAGCCAATACATACATATTGCTCTGATGAGGCTGCTCATGTAGATCGCACAAGCATCTTTCAGCTAAGCAGCGGGTGCCATAAACCTTGCCTCAGCTAAGCCACCGACTGCTAGCGGTGGCCACGATGCCGCGCATTGCGAATGGGCATAACTGCCCCCCACCCACCGGCAGTAATGTGCATGGCGCTGCGGCCAAGCTTCCCGGCACGATGGTATTGCTGAGGCTGGCCTTCGTCAGGCCAGTGCCCGCAGGTTTCGCTGGGCTCTCCTCCGCACGTTGCTGAACAAGCAGCAGTTCAGCAAGTTTAGGCAACAGCATGGAACAGCTACCTTTTGTTCACGTCCTCCGTGCAGCTCTTCGCATGTATTTTCAGCGCGGCCGGCGTAAACGTCCGGCCGCACCACGCACATTTCTCCAAGACCTACCAGGAGCCCGATGGCTTTTCAAATCTGTGTTGTTGAACCCAGGTACGCGCTACTACGTAGCAAGCCGGCACCGAGTCCGTCAATGTCAGATGAAAGCTCTCATTTGCAACGAGCTTTGCCTCCTGGTCATAGTTGTTGTACATCTCCTCTCTCATTGCAGCTTGGCTCACAGCACCTCACAACTGCAGCCAAGTCTCCTCGTTGAACGTTGCCCGGTCCTGCAAACGATGCAAAGGCAGAAACGCCCCGACCATCTCGAAGTCGGCCTGGTTGCTCAAGGACGTCCCAGCCAGGACGGCCGCCAAGCGCTCCGGTCGCGGAGGCAAGGGCCTACTCAAAGCAAAACCCTCGTGTCCAGGAATCGAATGCCGCGTGCTCTTTCTCATGGCACGACCTGCAAACATCTCGTACACACTCAAAGGTTGGTGCAATGCTACGCATACTGGAAGGCTTGTTTGTAACACCTGATAACAGCTAATTCAACCACTCTTCTACAGAACTTCATGCACATGGCCGCCCCCGCCCAGAAAATCACTGAGACTAGGGCTTTTGTTCAGAAAGCGGCTTCTGCTTTTCCTCGGACGGAGACAACAAACGAAGCTGTTGAAAAACTGAATCTTTGCTGTAGCAATTGGACGGCTCTCTGTGCAGCCAGTAGCCTGCGCCAACCACTTCTTCTCACCTGGGCAAGTGGCCCAAGCGAAATGTATAATGTATTATATCATAATATACTGTAATATATACCGTCATATACCAAAATATGGCATAAGATACTATACTCTATATATACATATATATATATATATAATGTACCATAATATCATCGGGCAAGGCGGTGCCGAGGCCGAGCAGCTGAGGCCCCGGCATTGCGGCACATGTATCGGCAAGGACCGAGAGCCAAACTCACGGCCGCAAAGGTAGCCTAGAGTTCACTTGTCGAGTATCGTGAGGAACTAAAGTTCTAGCTTCGGGGTGCTATAGGCATAGGATTTATAATGCTCCCAGAAGTCTCCCACATGCATCACAGGCTTCTAGGCATAGGATTTATAATGCTCCCAGAAGTCTCCCACATGCATCACAGGCTTCTCCGAAATGCTCAGCACTCCGTTCAGCACCTCAAGCCCTGAAGGACTTAACCTTGGTTCCTTCTCTGAAGGCCCTCCTAGTGAAGTGCAGATCATACAAAGTGGAATGCAAAAGCTCCTAGTGCCAGCAAGCCTTTTCAAAGATCGCATGGAGACAAGCCACACATCAGCATCTGCGGGCGCCCGCCCGACATTGCGACTAATTACAGCTGGTGGGCTATCTTGACTGCAGAAATGTATGCATTGTGCATCACCATGCTCGCGGCTCATCTGCTGCTGGGTAGGCAGGGAGGCCCACATGCTCACGATGTGTTTTGGAAGAGCCGGGCTGAGTTGCTTCTTGCGGAAATACTCCCACCGCAGTTCAATGCGAACCACCTCCCTCTGTACTTCGACGACCGCTATGTAAAGCACGGGACAACTTCGCTGGTATGAAGCTTGCAGTTGGTGCTGAAAGGGGTCGCCGAGGACAGCGCTAAACAGCTGCGTCGGCCAATAACGTCGCCGCTCGGCGTTCTTCACTCTTGAAAGCGTTTACAAAGCTGCCTTCTTGCCAGCGGAAAGGTCGCGGGAGGCGAGAAGGCACCTGCTCAGTCTGCGCCATGTAATGCTGTTTTCATATTGTGATTTCACGCTCAAAACGCCGAGCCGAGCCGCTGATGGCCGACCGTCCCGTTGCACGCCGCCCACACCTCGACGCTGAACGAGCCTGTGTCAGAGGCACAGGGATCCAGAGGGCGAGGATACGGACATTGGAACCAGCAGGGTTTTGCTTTCGCCGGCCTGATGGATTTGCTAAGTACTCAAACGCGCAGTCGCTGCAGTTGCGTCCATCAAAAAGCCACCTGGGCTTCACCGATGCTATCGTGGGCCATACTCGCTCCTTAATGAACGATTCGAGGCCCCGAATGCCCAGATAATACGACATGGAATGTATTGCAAATGAGTGTAAATCAATGCAGAGCTCGTTACGTCGTGCCCAGCCGAAGAGGTAGACTACAGAGACAGTGGCTGGAGGCAGTTGGACTCGCCAGTCGTTATTGCGCATAACTTGTTCTTTACGTGTCTTCTTCGGTTGTGTTTCTGCGATCCCCTCACTGGATTTCCGTCGCAGGTCGGCTTGGGTTTCATTTTTGGAAGCACCCTGCGGACTACCATGCCGCCACAACCGATGCTTGCGCAGACTTGCACCAAGATCTTGGATTTGAGGATACCTGAGGGGAAGCGATGCAACGGTTGCGAAAACGTCGGAAGTGAAGTCTGAACTGCAAAGACCCCACGACCGCGAGCAGCTCAGATGGTGCAAGGCCCATACCGGAAGCTTACAAGACTCCTGAACGACACGAAGGATTTTCCACGAGCCAATTTTTCCTCGCATGCGGGCTTTAACCGACAGAGAAGGTCAGACTCAGGCGGGCACATGCACTGTCTTAGTCTTAGCCCTTACGCAGGCCAACACTCTGAAGACGACTCTGCAACAGGAAGTCTTCCATGAAACTCCAGTCAGCGTGTTCATGCTGCCTGACTCCTGGTCCTCCGTTCGGGCCAGCCATCTACGATAAACTCAGCAATCGCTGCTTGCTGCCTGCTATTCCGCAGAGCAGCACTGCCGACATGTCCGTCATTTGGCTGATCGTCGCGCTACGAAGGCTGCAATCAAGGTTCTGCTGCACACGAGGACGGGGGCCGTAGTAGCACTAGCCAAATTCTGATAGGTCATTGTTTACGTCTTGTGAACACAGATCGTTTCTTGTACCCGTGTCAGCATGTGTCAGCCCGGGTACCACAAGAAGTTCGTGCCGAGCCTCACAGAAAAACTGATAAACACTGGCTACTTCTATTCACTCATGATGAGAAGTCTGTGTGCCCACGCCAAATGGCGGCATGTCGGCATTGCTTCGAGCTACGACAGACTTTCGCCTGACTTAAAAGCGTTCGCGACAGCAATTGGCCGAGGACGAACAGAGCGCACAAAACTCGCCATACCATCTGCGCACAGGCATGCTCCGCACGAATGGAGGCATGCACTACAGAAAGCCGTCGCTCTGCACAGCGGTAGCAACTGATCTTCCCAGCAGGCTGTGCAGGTGAAACGCATGTGCCAGTTTAGGCATCTGCCGAAGTATGACTATGCTATTTTCACCATTGGTTTGTTGATATTATCCTGCCGCCGTTTCAAGTAAGCCCTGTTTCTCTGCCATGCTCGGCTCCTAGCAACCCGATATGAACTAATTTTCCAATGCTCCAGGTGGTCCAAATGGTTCAGCCATCCTTGGTTGCGGGCTGGCTTCACATCGCCGTGATGTCTGCGAGGGAAATGACTCGTGAGACACCTATTCACCCACACGAAACATGTGCTGCACTCTTCATGCCTTGCGCTGCCCATTGCCATAACTTCCGCCATGTTTCGCAGGCTGGCTGGTGTCTGGCGGCTTCGGACTTTGGTTTGATGGTGAACTCGGCGGTTGCACAGGCTGACCCTGACCTCGTATCGCCTCAGCTGTGCCATTCAAGACTTTTCAAATGGGAGACTGCTCGCTGCCGAGTACACCGAGGAGGGTGCGCTTTCCTTCATCATCTGGCGTTTGAGACGTCGCGCCTGCAGGCACCACCCATCATTAGCCACAGCGAGGGACAGACATGCAACGAAAGGTTCCGACAGTCATAAAATGGCCACGGTCGTGCACCCTGGTCTCCTCGTGTAGAACGCCACGATAGACTGCGATTCGCACGCAGTAGCGCCGCACGATCCTTTGCTGCTCAAGAATTCGATTCTGAACGCCTAAACCCAAGCTGTCAGCCGTGCAATATTGCTTCGAGATTCTGACCCAGCTCCGGACTGGTGAAGCGGCATTCATGAATCACGTGCCTCAGGATCTTTGAGTGAATACGCTGCCCGCCTGGGGCTTGATGTGCAGACCAGCTGCATCAGGTCTGCCCGAGATAAAGACAAAACTTCGATGTATGTGAGAGTGTAGCTGGTGACAGGGTGGATGAGAGACGTATCCTTGGCATGCAGGAAGGGTTGCAAGATCCGTGGTGTTTGCACCCTGGCTGCTCGGGAGATGGAAGGCACTGCTAGCGGCTGCTACCACGCACCAGGGGCACCCTTCACTGCAGCCGTAAGTCCCACAACACGAAGTCCTCGCCCCAGACTTCTCCATGGGATCGTACCCGGCTGTTCAAAGCCACTAGGCCCTTGGACAAGATGTAAAGCACCTCACAGTGATGCAAGACAGGCATCTTTCATCTTTCCCGTTCAGCGAGTGACCACGACGAAAAAACACGGTCACAAGCAACAGCTTCTGTCTGCGAACGCGGCGCTTGCACATTGGTAAAAGCTTCTCGCTGCGCGAAGGCTCCAAAGGAAAGCATTTTCGAGATGTGTGCCACACATGCTTGATAGGGCTCAGTATGCATGCCCAAACGCTCCTGCTGTCTGATGAAAGTCATGAACTTCTTGAAAAAGTGCACCTTTTGAAGCCATGCGAAGTTGGTAGCAATGCAGACCTCTGACTGTAGCTGCGGGCTCATTCGTTCCAAGAGAGCTTGGCGAGCCATCACCAGGGATTGGTGTCGGTTCTGCAGGAAGAAGCTTCGCAGCCGGCAGCACAGTTCGTGTGGAAGCCCTTGGTCTCGCATCATGAGGTTCAGATGGTGCATACGTTTCCTGAAGACATGGCTCTCGGCTGTCAGGTCATGGACAATGGCGGCAACCTCGCCAATGACATATGCCCACGCCAAGCCTGCAGACAAGATCACGACGCAGCATACGAAACGTTCCAGAATATTCGCTGGTCCGATGTCGCCATAGCCCACGGAGGTGAGCGTGTAACTGCAGAAGTAAAAGGAACTCAAATACACTCGCCACGGAGAGTCACGCGTCCGAATCCCCAAAGCCAGATCTTCTGCTTCAATGCCGTCGATCCAGGTGGGCATGTTGTCCTCCCGCCACCCCTCGCCCCCCCCAACCCTAACCTCCGAAACAAGCCCGAGAAGTTTCACGCCCAATATTTCTCGATCAGAGTCGCGAGCTCGGGTACTTGAAGGGATTTTGGCTTCCGGGTTTCGACCCTCACAACTCGCACACAGCAGGCAAGGTAATCCAAGCACACATATCAACTAACGACAACTCGGACCAAGGGGTACTTAAGGGGCCAGGGAGACATTACGGTGTTTTTTGGTAGGAAAAAATGCACAGGCTCTCCTCATTTAGGCCCAAAGTCATGGCCCACAAGCACGCCAGCCAGTGGCACACGAAGGCAAGGATCAGCAAAAACCTCGGCCCAAGCATCCTGTCACACTCGCACACTGCAGGCAACGCTTACAGGCCTAGAGCTCTGCACAAAGGCTTCTAGACTTGCTAGAACTCCAACCCAAGCACCGTATCAGGGCCATCTGCTGGTACGGGATAGACAGCGGAACTTCGATCTTGTGCATGAACCTTGGGATGATTTCTACAGGTGCTTCGGAAGACTCGAGAAGAAGCTGCAGTAGCATTGCAGTGCGGAAGGGTTGGCCCCAGTCGCGCCTCAAGCGCAACCGCAAACCGTTTGTCTCACAGCTTCTCGAACGTACGAGGACTCACATCTTCTGCAACCGGGGTCAGGGTGCATTCGGGCTTCGAGGGCCTGATTGTGGCTGCATGTGCTGCACAACATTCTTCAGCTCGGGTGCTGAGAGGACTTGGCCAGGCGCATGATCTTCACAAGGCGCAGTGTGCGAAACCTTACCAGCCACAGGCGCAAAGCTGTTTTCCACATGACTCGCTCAGTCATGCTCACCTGCACTGAATGGAATATCTGTCGGGGTCCTTCGGCTCTGTCTTTCTCTCTCCTGGGTTCTCGCGCTCTCAGGCGGTCCGGTCGGACGCCCCAGGGGGTCATGGCCGAGAAACACCTTCAGACTCTGCAGCTCATCCAACTGATCCGAGTTAACCGAAAGCGTGAACAAATCGAAGGGGATGAGCGTCACCAGGTCGAGCAGGAACCAGGACTTCCTCTGGGTCAAGACTGTTTGGCATATTCCGTGTTGGGACCAGGAGTGCCTGAAACCTGCGCTGTCTAACTTCATCCTCGCTCGAGGCCTTTCAGCCGTCATGTCATGCCATGTCTTTCTGGACAAAAGCCAAACGGAAATTCAGGCATTTTCCGCCTCAGGTTCGGCTGTTGGAAAACCTGTTCCAAACCTGTGTCGGCGCAGCCGCCCAAATCAGCAAAGCATCAAATAATGCCACCAGATCTTCCTCAAACGCACTTCCCAGACGATGCCATGAGTAGTCGACTTCGGGAAGGTGGTAAAGAATTGAAGCACCATGTCGATGAGAAACCTTCGCTGTGCTGTCCAAAACTCCCAAGACACACTCGCGACCACTAAACTGTCGACTTGCAACTCGGATGCAACAAGGCAAGAACTCAGCTTTACACGAGACCCGTGCATGAGATTCCAGTTCAGCCATGGCCACACGAAGTCGACGCAAAGGCCCATCACGAGAACCCTCAGAAGGAACAGAGTTGGAAAATGAAGAGGACCATCTGGCTGGAGTGCGACATCATAGCCGAGATAAGCACATGCTTCTGCACCAGTGCCGCTAGATTCCGCGTAGCCATGCATGCCTGCTTCACACTACTGCACACTGGTGCACATTGGTTGGTACTATATCCAACTTACATCCATAGTGTACATGTGTGTATGTGCTAGTATGTATGTACATGTATACCTACATACATACAGGCATACATACCTATATACACACGTATACACATATACATATATATATATATACATATATATATATGCTTACGCCCCCCCCCATGATCCATACTATGCTTGCTCTTGGTAAGCAGTGGATCATGGGAGGTGGGCAGCTTCGGATGCTGAAACACTGCCAGGCTCGAAAATCCCCAAAATTCCTGAAGCCTCAAGTGCGAAAACACTGGCAGGGATCAAAAATCCCCAAAATCCCCAAAATGTGAGAGACTATGGCACCGCACTCGCATAGTTGCCAGGATTTTGGGAATTTTGGTGATTTTTGATCCCTGCCAGTGTTTTCGCATTTCAGGCTTTACAAATGTTGGTGATTTTCGAGCCTGGCGGCATTTCGTCAACGTCGGATGCTAAAACATTGCCAGGCTCGAAAATCACCAAAATTCCTGAAGCCTGAAGTGCGAAAACACTGGCAGGGATCAAAAATCCCCAAAATCCCCAAAACGTGGGAGACTATGGCCCCGCACTCCGCATAGTTGCCAGGATTTTGGGAATTTTGGGGATTTTTGATCCCTGCCAGTGTTTTCGCATTTCAGGCTTTACAAATTTTGGGATTTTCGAGCCTGGCGGCATTTCGTCAACGTCGGATGCTAAAACATTGCCAGGCTCGAAAATCCCCAAAGTTTTGCAAAACTAAACACCCATGGCCCCATAGATGCCACGATTTTGGGAATTTTGGGGATTTTTGATCCCTGCCGATGTTTTCGCATTTCAGGCTTTACAAATTTTGGGGATTTTCGAGCCAGGCGGCATTTGCTAACCTTGGATGCTGTGTTCCTATTATGTCTTTGTTTGTCACGTGTATACACATGGCATATGCTTTGTTTTAATGCCATGTCAAGGTGCGGTATGTTCCACGACATATCCGTTGCAGTTCTCTCCCGAGTGAAAGTCATCGTTTGTGTCCCTCTTTTCCTCTTTTCCAGCATGATCCGCGACCGGGGTGACATATCCTTGCAAGATGCTCTGTATGCCACCAATTCCTTGAGATATTGTATCAAAGCACACCACACCCGACGACAATCTGTAAAGTAAAACATTTGCAGTAGATATACAACATATACTTTGACATGCCATGTACTGAGGACGCATGCACCAGACGCGCGGCACATGAGTTACGTGATAGTTTTGTGGAAGTATCGATATTACTAATATATGCGAGTATACTAATATACGACTACTGCAACATGCAAGTATACCGACATGACAAAATAGTAGACTAATATGCCAACATACTGATATACTTGTAAATATGACTAGACAATACATGAATATAGCACACATACTAGTAAACTAATACAACAATATACTAGTGTACTCGTGCACCAGTTGTACTAACATATCAAATATACAAGTATACAAGTATACAAATATGTTACTGTTCGAATGCATTAATAATAGATTGATATACTAGTCTGCTACTATACGAAACTATCAATATACTAACATATCAAAACTAGTTCTAGTATTGATACTAATACTAGCACTTCTGCGAATATAAGCTGCGACTAAACCCAACATTAAGACTGACACTGATACTAGCAGTGGTGCTGTATTACTGACATTGACACTGGCACTAGCGCTAACTCTAACACGAGCATGAGCACTGACGCTAATTTATATTTACTAATACTGACATATATACTATCACAGCAAACACTAGCACTAATATTATTAAGAATTGGTATATGGGTATATGTTTATGCCAAAACATTAGTACATGAATGCACTAATGTATATATCTGTATCTTAAGATAGTGGTATGTATATTTATGTACATTAGTATATGCAGGTGTCAATTAGTAAAGAGATTAGTATTCATATCAATACGAATATATTATTGGTATTCGTAGGAGTATTAATGTTGATATTAGAATTATGACTATTCATAGTCGTATTAGCCATAATATAAGTGTTCTTGCTGGTAATAGTACTGGCATTCATGAATATTCAACAGATTGTCAACATCCGTCTCAGTGTTGGTGATAGCATTATTGTTAACACCACAGGAGTTTATGTATTCGTACTCGTAGGAGTATCAATACTATTGCAAATATTGATGTTAGTATAAATATTGTGATAAGTATTAGTAGTAGTATTAGCGTTAGTACTATAATATTATGAACACACTTGAAGTATGTGTCACGCTTTCCAGGCAACCAGGCAATGACCAGGAAGATTCGAAGCTGCCAGTTTGAGTATTGGCATAGGCACCAAAACATGGCGACAGTGACAGGCAACATGTTGAAGTTTTAGCACAACAACCGGTGATGCCTCCTGAAACATGGAGTGCCAGGTTTTGGATGGAAGAGCGGAGCCCGAAAGTGAAATCAGAATCCGTTTCGGGTTTCGTGGGGATATAACATGTGAGAACAAATTACAACATGTAGAGCTAAGTAGATGCTAGGTGCAGAAAATACCGCAAATACCGATGATTTTGTATGTAGGTGAAGTCATGTAGAAATCTAAGCATGAGCAGCAGGAGGTAGAAAAAAACATGGTATGGATCATGGGGGGGGGCGTGACCATATATATATATATATATATATATATATATTAATACATATACATATGTATATATATATACATGTATACACACATATCTACACCTATATGCACATGTGTATATATATATATATATTTGGGTAATGTTATATCCCCCTGAATTTCGTGATCTCGCATAGAAAAACACGCCTTCACCACTTCACCATTTCACCATTCATTTCCCCCATATGCTCAGGCGAGTTCACCATTTCACCATTCATTTCCCCCATATGGTCAGGCCGGTTCACCATTTATTTTCCCCCACAGTGTCAGGTCGGTTGACCATTTCACCATTCATTTCCCCTATACGGTCAAGCCAGCTCACCATTTCACCATTCATTCACCACACACGCCTAGTTGGTGAAACTGTGAATTGATGAAGTGGTTTGGGGGTTAGGGCCAAACTGATTGGCGAAATGGTGAAATGGATTATGGGCTAAGGCCAGACCAATTGGTGAAACTGTGAAATGGTTCAGGGTTCGGGCCAAACTCATTGGTGAAATGGTTTATGGGTTAGGGCCAAACTAACTGGTGACATGGTTCATGGGCGTTTACATAGGGCCAAACTAATTGGTGAAATGGTGCGAAGGGTTTATGGGTTCAAGCATAGGGCCAATCTAACTAATTGGTGAAATGATGAAAAGGTTTATGGATTTTGACATAGGACCAAACTAATTGGTAAAAGGATCAGTGTGTGAAATAGTGATATGGTGAAACGGTTTCGGGTGCGTATTCACCCCATATGGTTAGTCCTCCTCACTTCACGGGACCAAAATAATTGGTGAAATGATGCATGAAGGAAATGAAGGTGGTTTGGGGGGACCAAACCACTCGAAGGATCAGACCGACTGGTGAAATGGTGAAAATGGTCCGTTGGTTTAATGGTTTCGGACCCTATCCGTCATGTAGGTAAACTGAAAGTTTGAAGGTACGGAAAACCTGGGTTTATAAACCAATGTTGTGGTTTATAAACTTTGGGAGGGTGCCGTTGCACAATAAAACATACGAAATAAATCCATCTCAACAGTACTTCACCATCACCTAAATCCAACATTTCAACCGTTTAGATGATTCAGGAAGACTGAAACTGGAATGAAACAGTTCAAAAAACTGGGAGAATAGACGATGGCCCTAGATATCCAGCATTTATCCGTTTTTTGAGCAATGATGCAGTGTTTTTTGTCAGAATTCGCATATTTTCGGGACCACATGCAATTCTCTCGATTTTAGCGGGCAGGCTACGCTGCAGGATCGTTTTTATGATCTGACTGTTCCATTACATGGTTACAAGAGAGAAGGCAATCTATGTACACACTAAGCGAACAGGCACTCATAAGAGCAGTATTTTCGTGTACAACCTGGTAGGGTTTCATCACCTGGTACATAGACGAATTGGCTGCGACGTTGTCCAAATATCATTCCAAGGAAGCAGGGTTTCGATGAGACAAGACTGATGACAATGTGTGTGCCCAGCAACCAAAATTTGCAGCTTGGAAACTGTTAGGTTTCTTCGCTTGGTACGTAGAACACTACTAGCAAAGCTGTTTCCATGACATTGGGATGAACCCTCTTTTAAAAGGAATGACGCGGTGTGCTTAAGCTTGTATCTCTAACACAGGTAATGACGTTCTGGACTGGGACAATGGCTTCTAATAGGGCTCCGGTCGTGCTCACAAGAACACAAACAAATGTGTGGCAGGGCGCGGGACTAGCAAAGTCAACAGAACATGCACGCGATAACGCTGATACGAACTCATTGTAAGGGCAAGCCTTCTGCATCTTCCAGACTGCTTATGATCTCACAATACGGACAAGCTGCATGAGGCTTTATGGTTCGCAGTGGGCTTTACGAGATGGCTCCGATATGCTGATACAAGAAGCACATGTTTCATCACTCGGTATACAGAAATAGAGTCAGGTCTAAGAAGCGACACTCTATGTATACTGCCTCACAGGAGAGGCACTCCATACAACGTTTGCAAAGCGTGCATAGTATGCAAGCCTTTGGAATTCCAAAGCTATGCAAAGAGAAACAGACACTCTAGCGGGATTGGTATTGCAAACAAACAGTCTGAACTCTTCGTTCTACAACTTCGCTCACCGTGGGGCAGGACTGAACCAGATTGCTGACTAAAGGCGCTTTTGCTAGTGATTTGGATCTACAAGGGCTTAGAGAGCAGTCGCACAGGCATGAAACACGAACATGTATCGGCGCCCGCAAGCTTTTTGGCGCGTTGCAACCAAGTCTCGGCGAGGTTGCCAGCATTGTGAAAACATGGATGGTAAGACTGATAGGTGCAAGTACTTAGGATTTGCGACTTTCTGTGTTAGTCTCCCAAGTAGGTCTGTAGAAACGGTGAGGAACACAACGGAATCATGGCATCTGTACGGGGAAGATTCGTATTGGAATGGAACGAGCAGTGTAAGAAACATTCATAGTCATCCATAGAGAATGCAGACGTACATCGAAGCGGCATCAGTGAAACACCATGCATCACTGACGATGGGTCCAAAATGAATGACCACCAATGTGAGTCGATTCACTTAAGAAGTGATGGAGACGAACTCTCACATGCACCCCTGGGTAGGGGCCGAAGTCCCCTTGATCTCCTCAAAGCAACAGCGTGAAGAGAGAGATCGAGTCCTCAAGGACCCAACCCCCAATCAACCTGTGAAGGTATCAAGGGAGGGAGGGTGGGACAAAAAGTGCAGAATCGAACAGGAAGATGACCTCAGCATTCAAGTTCAGAGCAGACCCTACACCAACCAACCGTCCGACAATGAAACACAGACTTAGATACTGCGTATTTTCTGTTGGCTGCGACTTGGACACAAAGACATGTTTTTTCACTGGCCCAAATTCAAGGATACCAAGGGTTTATAAACTTTGCGTAGGTTTATAAAATTTGGGTGGGTTTATGAATTTGGTCTGAGGTCACAAACTTGTCGAAGTTCAGGGTTTTAGCAAAAGTACGGGGGATACTAAATTACTACGCAGCCCATACATGTATATGTGTGTGTGTGTATACAGTGAATATATATATATATATATATATATATATATATACAGATAGATAGATAGATATAGATAGATATAGATAGATATATATATATATATATATATATATATGAATTTAGTTATATACATATACATATACAAAGATATATACGTATACACATAATGTATATATATATATATATATATACATGTGTACATGCTTACTTATGTACATGTGTACATATATACATATATACCATATATACATGTGTAGATATATACACAAATACGTGTGTATATATAAAGTGCACCAATATCTACTTCTGTAAATATACAATCATATATAACCCTGTATACATACTTACATACAAAATACCCATACATATATACATACATACGTTACATACATTACATACATGACGTACATACATACATACATACAGACAGACATACATACGTCATGCATGCACGCATTCATATGCAGATGTACAGACGTACGGACGTACAGACACACAGACATACAGGCAGCATGTACGATTGCATACCATTACCTCAATTGCGCGCGATTCTTTCGTACTGATCAGATTGCTCCCAAGCGTCGCGTCTACTTGCAGCTCCAGCAAAGCCACTTGGAAGGGCGTCACCTGCATTCCGAGCAAGGCTCGACCACGTTTCGGAACTTACTACGCGATGTTGCGCCATGTACTCTTGTCACACTTGGCCCAGCCAGCTTTGGAAGTAAGCACCCGGATGCTCAAAGGTGCCGCTTATTGAGAACCCCACTTGCATGACTCCGATCGGGGTGAGAAACGATCTGCAGGAAGGAAGCACCCATATCAGCTCGGTCAGCTAATGCTGGAAGGTTCAACGCCGCGTTGAATCTGATGCAGCCAGAGCGGCAACGGCCACAAAGATCAAGCACATGCCGACGACCATCTGCGTGGGGCAACAGCTGCACAGCCGCCCGACCGTCAACTGCTCAGACTTCAGACGCACGCTGCCTGCCACGCGGATGCCGCAGCATTGCGATCAGGATTGATGATGTACCAGGGCCTGGGCTCAAAAGCGCTGCACTAAAACCAGGGCCACGACAGCACAAGACTACTTCAAGAGAGTGAAATGCCTCGTGCACTTTCCACAAGTCTATTGCCGCCACAGCCAAATTTTCGAGTCCGTTGCATGTGATATCAACCTACAGCAGTGCCAAATACACATGCATCAAGTACAAGCCCATGCTTGTAAGCTCAGCCGCTTTGAGTAGATGAAGTTTTTCGTTTTCTGGGCCCGCAAGATGGAAAACTTCATCTCCTTGTCATCCTTCCCCTGGATGCAAGACCGAGGACGAAGGGCAGCAAGGAACAAGAGCTAGAATCTCGGTTCCATGAGAAGCCACACTGCTTCCCAAGCTTTCTGTTCATTACACATGGCCCTGGCTGCACCTCCGCCGGCTCCGACCCGGCACTCACTTGTCGAGTAAAGGTCTTGTTGAATTTCCCCGTCGGAGCTCTGGAGGTTTTCGAGGGCAGCTTCGGGAGCTCCTGCCAGGAATCTACCTAAGGGCATACTCTGAATAACAAGCACTTCCGGACAGGACTGGGGGGGAGGGGGGCCTTGATTTCTTCGACGAAGTCATGCTTGCCCCCCGTATCCATGAAGCTGCGGTTCAAGCCCAGCTCGTTGTTTTCTGCAGCCTTGCGAGCGACACATGCACGTCAGGCCGGCACTCGTTCACATCTCTTCTCTGGGATTCTGGAATGCTGGAGGAGTGGAATGATCGGAAATGCCTTCACGCCAGGATTTGAGTAGCCAAAAAAGTTGCATTGCATTAGTTGCGAACAGGGGGCTCTCTGGGTCCGTGCTGCCTGTCGCAGTCCAACACTTTGCAACTCTGCGCTGTGTCCTCAGCCGGAATCAGCACCGCAAACAGTCATGCCCGCTTCGCCAAGCCCCTGCCACCCTTTGGCTCTAGACGAAGTGCCACTCTTCCTGACAAGTCTTAGGCCAAGTATCCATCCTCGGCACCAGGAAAGCGAACTTCCCACGAGCTCATGAGCACGGATCCTGCCAAACCATGGTTTCTATGGCTTCCAGTTTCTGCAAAGGTCCCGAATCTCTGAGTCCGAGTGGTGCAAACCCGAAGAGAGCGGCAAGCCATACGTGGAGAGAAGAATTGGCTCTTTCAGGACGTTCCTGGAGAATCCATCACAAACGGAGGAGCTGGTGACGATTCGGGTGCAGCCACCACATCCTCAGTGCAGACTTGATGTGGGTACATGAGAGAACGAAACGACAGACTGTCTCGGCTGAGGGACGCCACCCAACCTCTGTACTTCACGTCGGAGCTTGCGCAGTTCACTTGTCTGTGTTTCGTACTCCTGGCCAAGCTGATGCAGCAGCTCGCGGAATCGGGCCGCCATGGCGCAACCGTTTATTCTGGAGTCTCTCCGCCGCAAAAGAAGTTATTTCTGGTGCTGTCTGCCCTTCACCAGACCCCATCCCTGTCTTAGTTTCGTTCCTACTACGGAAACCTGTGCTTCGGGCTGATACATTTCAGCAAACTGGTCTTGCTGGCGAGGGATGCTTGCGTGCAACATATGTTCGCCCTGCTGTTTGGACCCACCTGCGGATGACATGCAAAGGAACAATCGATAGCCCGTTGCAGCGTGAAGCGCGTGGAGGGCTATGTGACGCATCTTCCTGATTCCATGTAGAGCAATTGATACACTAAGCGAACAAGACTGCCTTGGACTCGAGACGCCGATCCGGCAAGAGTCTAATTCAATCCTGAACCATCCAACCACGGCTGGGTGTCGGACGGGCCAGGCAGCAGAAACTGCACTCCCGAGCCTTCGTTGCCACGGATTCCTTGCATCACTTTCTTGGCAAATACACGCTGTCGAGACTCCAGACACGACGGATCTGGGAAGTATAGGAGGACATGATACTCATTCTAGAAGAGTTATACTTGCACAAGATGCATTGTCTCATCATCGACTTATACCCGAAAAGACTTGGTGGTGAATGGTAAGAAGGTCGAGGACGACGAGAAGGAAAACGCGGAAAGGACGCCGACGAACACTACCAGTTACCATGACGTCGGCGACGGCAAGGACTACGCCTCCGACTACCAAGCATCGAAAGAAGTCGTAGTAATCATACGGACAATATTTTCAATTAAAACACCGAGAATTTGCAAAACAATATCAATACTAATCACAGTAAGCAAGACAATAGTACTGATGATTACTATGCTTGTACGTAATCTCTTTGGGTAGCTAAATCTCTCTTACCTGGATGTTCTTCGTTCTGATAGGGTCATCCTGCGTTCGCTGAAGCGACCGAATCAACCATCTGCGACAGGCTGTCCTGTGCTGCTCGTTTCCGTGGATGGCGCCAGAGCCTTTGCAATGAATCTGGGGATGTATGCAGCTGCCTGCTGCCGTCATCAGGGCTGCATTCCATCGTGATCTGATCTGGCTGATCTGACATACAGGTGCTGCAGCCGACCCAAACGGGCAACACGGAACGGTGATGATCCTGCTGCAGGACTTTCGCCGACTGGCAGCGTTGTGCTGCGGTTCAACACTGCAGGGATGTAAGGAATCTAAAGAAAAGTAAGAGTCTCGTAGCGTCCAACCTAAAGGAAGTACAGTGCTTAGCAGTGGTCGTCCGCACGGAGCAGCATCCTTCCCGGCCTGCTCCTCGGCCAGAACGAGCTCCCCTGCTGGCGCCCTGAGCGGCGTGCGTTTCAGGCTCCGAGGCCACGGGCGCACTCTGCGTGAGAAGCGGCCTCTTTGGACAAGCCTTGCTTGCCAATCCATCCTGGCATCGCGTCGGCATGACATGAGCTCCCGTCTCACGATGCTCTCTCTACCTGGATCTCAAAGCTGAGGTGCGGATGTGAAGTCTGGGGCGTGGACAACCAGTTTCGTCAACGAGGCTCGGCCAGTCACGTCTCCTGCATTGACCGGTGGGCGTGCTGGTTGCTCTCTGCTTAGATACAGCAGCTGATGCTTAACTGATGGGCATTCTCATGTCTCGATAGCTTTCACACTTTGAGAAAAGAAGGCTTGCCACACGAAATTGAAAACCGCCTGCCCTTCATTAAAACATGCTAGGATCTCCGGCACAATTTAGATACCACCATTCGTGGAATAACAACGAGAAAGCTGAGAAAACCGTACCAACAAACCAGGTGAAAGACGCTGGTTTACTATAGCACTAGTAGTGATACACAGCCGCGCGGGCAACAGAAGCAGCAGTGTTTTTTTGGCTCCCGCATGGCAAGTCTGAGACGACTGCATTGCAGGTGACGAGTACTCTTGCAGCAGTGTTGTTACTAGAAATACAGCGTGAAAAAAGCCCAGGTCTCATAGTCCCCCACCCCAACCCTAAAAATCCAAAGCGCCCTGAGCCCTGAACCCTAGCAAATATTCCGGCGGACAAACACTCGCAAGCTACATACATACATACATACATACATACATACATATATACATATATATATATACGCATATATATATATATGCTCACCCCCCCCCCATGACAGACCGTCGTGGGGAAGGGGAAGGGTGGCGTGCGTCCCCAGGCAGGATCTGTCAACGGATAGGCGACAGACACTTCTCCCAAACTCAATTCCAAAATGTTCTTTTAGATGGTTTGCAATTTTTGGAAATTTCTTCACACGCATGCAGCGCTCCTAGTCCCAATCTTAATCTCAATTCTGCTCTTCGTACCACTATTACTGTTTGTAGATCTTAATTCTTGTATCAGTGTTAGCATTAGTATTAGTTTTGTGGTAGTATTGATATTAGGATGTTTAGTATGAGTAATAGTATTCGAATTAGTATTACTCTTAGTATTAGCATTAAGTATGTGTATTGATGTTAATAGTAGTAGTCGTCGTACTAGCAATAGTTGTCGCACAGCAGTAGTAGTGGTAGCATTAGTATTGGTATTGGTATTAGTATTAGAATGAGTATTAGTATAGTAGTATTAGTGACTAGTATGAGTATCAGTATTAGTTTTAGTATTAAGTATGTGTACTAGTAGTAGTAGTAGTAGTAGTAGTAGTAGTAGTAGTCGTAGTAGTAGCAGTAGTAGTAGCAGCAGTAGTGGTGACATTAGTATTGGTATGAGTATGAGTATTAGAATTAGTAGCTAGTATTAGTACTAGTATTAGTGTTAGGATTAATATGTATTGTTCTTGGTTCTATTCTTAGTACTGCTGTCATTGTTTGTAGTAGTCCTAATCCTGGTATCAGTGTTCATATGAGTAATAGTTTTGTGGTAGTATTGATATTAGGATGGGTATTGCTTTAGTACTAGTATTGGTATTGGTATTTAGTATTAGTATTAGCATCAGTATTAGTATTAGTATTGAATAAAAGTATACATATCAATAATAGTAAATATGAACTCGTGATTATGTTCGTGCTGGTGTTAGTGCCAGTGTCGATGTCAATGTCAGTAATAGTACTCGTGTTAGTATTAGTATCAGTCTGAATGCTGGTTTTAGTATCTGTTTATTATTCACAGAAGTGCTGGTATTAGTATCAGTATTAGAAATAGTTTTGATATGTGAATATACTGATTGATTCGTACATTTTGAACTTAACATAATAATACAGTAATGTATTCGAACAATAGTATATTTGCAGAGTTGAAGATTGCGCGAATATATTAGTACGTTGGTGCATGAGTACACTAGTATATTGGTGTATCATGATATTCGTATGTTAACGTAGTAGTATATTAGTATATTATTATAGTGGTCTATTACTACATTTACTATATTCGTATTTTCCCTAATAGCTTATAGGTATATCAATATGTTGGCATAATGGCATGTGAACATGTCAGTGTACTTGCCTTTTACAGTATTCGTATATTAGTACACTAGCATATTTAGTGATAATTAGTGTTAATGCCAGTGCCAATGTCGATGTCAGTTTTAATCAGTCTTAATGATGAATTTAACATCAGTGTAATATTCGCGGACGTGCTAGTATGCGTATCAATACTATAGTTAGTTTTGATATATTAGTATACTGATAGATTATATAAACAGCTTAGTATACCAACACATTATAATGTATTCGAACAGTAATATGTTTGTATACCTGCATGTTTGTATGCTCTTAGTATATTAATGCATGCGTACGTTCGTGCATGAGTACATTAGTATATTGGTGTGCTATTATCTTCGAATATTAACATATTAGTGTATGAGTATCCTGGTATGCTACTTCATTTATCATATTCGTATATTATCTAACAACTTTCTTGGTATATCCATATGTTAGTATACCATTGCCATGTGTCAGTGTACTTGCATATTACAATATTCGTGTCTTAGCAAGTTAGCATATCAATACAGTATAATCAGACGTTAACAAGTAGTATATTGTCACGTTGGAAACTGGGTATATGACAAGTTAAATACGAATATACTACGTTAGTACACGAATGCATTGATATATTTGCTTTTCAGATAGTGGTATGTATATCTGCGGACATTAATATACGCAGGTGTCTGTTAGTATTGGCATTAATATCAATATGAATCTGATTATTGGTAGGCGTAGGAGTATTAATGTTAATAATAGAATTAGTAATGTGCATATTCGAAATGAAAGCATTAATATACATGTCAACGTTAGTGTTAAAAGCACTACACAGTAATCTTACTTGAGTCATATATAGAGCAGATTCCAGCATTTCCAAAATTTCCAAAATTCTCTCCCCTAACTTTCCAGATTTCCAAAATTTCCAAAATTTCCAAAATTTCTAAAATTTCCAAAATTTCCAAAATTTCCAAAATTTCCAAAATTTCCAAAACTTCCAAAATTTCCAAAATTTCCAAAATTTCCAAAATTTCCAAAATTTCCAAAATTTCCAAAATTTCCAAAATTTCCCGACCTAGTCGACAGGATTTTTCCAAAACATAAGGGCGGACTTTTTGGAAATTTCGGAAATTTTGGAAATTTTGGAAATTTTGGAAATTTTGGAAATTTTGGAAATTTTGGAAAATTTGGAAATTTTAGAAATTTTGGAAATTTTGGAAAATTTGGAAATTTTAGAAATTTTGGAAATTTTGGAAATTTTGGAAATTTTGGAGATCTGAAAGTTAGGGGAGAGAATTTTGGAAATTTTGGAAATGCTGGAATCTGCTCTATATATGACTCAAGTAAGATTACTGTGTAGTGCTTACTATGTAGTGTGTCAGCACAACCCTCATCCATACACGTGTGCTCTGTAATTCCTTTCTTGGTAGGACACCCGCGCGCCTTATCGTGCTGCTTTCTGGTCTCAGTCTTTTGGTGGTTCCAGGGATACGTTCGGAGGGCTCAAACTCGATACTCCGGAAAAAGCACGAACACGCCGGTGGGAGCGATGTTTTAAAGGGGATGGTCTG